TCCTAATGGGCCCTAACCAGATGCTCCAGCTGATTTGTCTTAGTGTGTGTGTGTGTGTGTGTGTGTGTGTGTGTGTGTGTGTGTGTGTGTGTATGTACCAGTGTTTATTCTAGTATATGTGTTTGTATATAGTATGTATGTATGTATGTATGTATGTATATATAGTATGTATGTATGTATGTATGTATATAGTATGTATGTATGTCAACATTAATTAGCCAATCAGGTGTGTTAGGGCAATCAGTGTATCGTCACCTGGTCTGTCTCATACTGGCTGTCTGTTTACTTTTCCACACATACTTACATACACAAGCACACGAACATACACACATACATACACACACACACAAAACAATCAAACAAACACACACAGACAAACACAATCACATCAACATACACACACATACTCAAACAAACACAACACGCACACAAAAAAATCAAACACACTTGCAAATACAAACAAACACAACCATACAAACAAACAAATAAACAAAACAGACCAATTTTCCACCTCGTGTTTTTTCAGTCGGGGTCAATTTTCAGGGTGATAAGGTCGGGTGGGACTGGTGTGCCGGGTGTGATTGTAGATCTTAATTGTTTACTTTTGACGCCTCTCGGGACAAGTTAGTGCCAAGCCACACAATAACACGGCCCCTGCGGACTGTCTTCTGGGAGAGGGGGGGGGGGTTGGGGGCTTGGGGAGGATGAGAGGGTTGTGGCTTATTGATAACTATATCTAACAGGATGAACGAGTATACCCTGGCTTTCTGTAAACTGAAGGAGAGAGAGTATACCCTGGCCTCTGTAAACTGGGGAGAGAGAAAGTATACCCTGGCTTTCTGTAAACTGGAAGGGAGAGAGAAAGTATACCCCGGCTTTCTGTAAACTGGAAGGAAAGAGAGAAAGTATACCCTGCTTTCAGTCTGAAGGAGAGAAAATACCTACCCAAACTGGAAGGAGAGAAAGCCTGGCCTTCTGTAAACTGAAGGAGAGAGAAAGTATACCCCGACTTTTCTCTGTAAACTGGAAGGGAGAGAGAAAGTATACCCGGCTTTCTGTAAACTGAAGAAACTGAGAGAGAAAGTATACCCTGGCTTTCTGTAAACTGGAAGGAGAGAGAAAGATACCCGGCTTTCTGTAAACTGAAGGGGAGAGAGAAAGTATACCCTGGCTTTCTGTAAACTGAAGGAAAGGTCAAGAAGATAAAGTATAATTATACCCTGGAGAGCTAACCTGGTTCCTTCGACGTTGTTTATAAAAAGGCCACACAGATCCTGGAAGAGCAGCAACATGAGACCTTCTCCTCCTTTGGCTGTGATCTGGAGCTCTGGAAGACAATATCCAGCACTGGAAGACACCCCCAACCCATCCCCCCATCCACCTCCTATTCTGCTGGAAAGGCAACATTTATTCTAAGTTGTTATTTATTAGGCAATGTTTTCCAGTGGGGGTTTATTTTGGAAGGGCAAGACACCAGACTAGTTATATACTGGAAGGGCAAGACTCCAGACTAGTTATATACTGGAAGGGCAAGACTCCAGACTAGTTATATACTGGAAGGGCAAGACTCCAGATCGATTACACTACTGGAAGGGCAAGACTCAGGCTAGTTACATTAAAGGGCAAGACTCCAGACTAGTTATATACTGGAAGGGCAAGACTCCAGACTAGTTATGTACTGGAAAGGCAAGACTCCAGGCTAGTTATAAAGAGAGGCTGGAAGGGCAAGACTCCAGACTAGTTATATACTGGAAGGGCAAGACTCCAGGCTCGTTATAAGGCTAATTACTCTACATTAAATACGTCTCGCAAAGTTGCTTGTACTTGCTTGTGTTTTGAAAATCTTCAATAGTTCTCCTTACACAGTTTATGGAGGCAATTTTCTCCACCAACACCGTCCTGGAAGAGAGAGCTATAATGGCCTCTCTAAACCGAATATTACCTCTCTTAACCGAATATTACCTCTCTTAACCGAATATTACCTCTCTAAACCGAATATTACCCTCTAAACCGAATATTACCTCTGTAAACCGAATATTACCTCTGTAAACCGAATATTACCTCTGTAAACCGAATATTACCTCTGTAAACCGAATATTACCTCTGTAAACCGAATATTACCAACTAACCTGTAATAACATTTGTAATATTTTCTTAATTTTGGGGAAATATTTACATCATTAAAGTGGACTATTACGGTATTGTTAAATATCTCTTGTATTCTCTAACCCAAATATTCCCCCTCTAAAATACTCTAAGATTGTCGTCTTAATATTTCCTTACACTTTGGGGGAATATCTAGAAACGAGTATTCCTCCCTCCTTCTCCTCCTCTCCCTCCTCCTCCTTCCTTTCTCCCCCCTACTCTTCCCTTCCTCCCCCTCCTCCCCCTCCCTCATAAACTTAACCTCAAAGACAAACCTCGGTGCTCGTTATATTTTAAAAGGCGATTATAGTGAGCAAGATTTGACCCCTTTCCCTGATTCCCCAACCCCCAACCCTCCCCAACCTTCCCTGACTCCCCCAACCCTCCCATCCCTCCCCAACCCTCCCCAGACCCTCCTCAACCCCATCCTCCTGACCCACTTCCCCATCCCCCATGCCCCACTCCCCTGCTGTGTCTCAGGTGGTTAATGAGGGGCACTAAACGGGGCGCTGGAAACCTACTCTGTGTTTACTTCTGTCTGCTGGGTGTTGTTTACTTCTTCAGGGTGTATGACTGTACCGTTGTTCTCTGTCAAGCTGGGTGATTATGGCGGTAGTGGTGGTGGTGGTGGTTGGTGGTGTGTGGTAGTGGTGGTGAGGAGATAGGGTGGTAGTGGTTTGGTGTGTGATGGTTAGGCTGTAGTGGTAGTAGAAATAATGGTGGTGGTAGTGGTGATGATGGTGCTGTGGTGATGATTGTGGTGGTGGTAGTGGTGCTGATGGTGTGTAGTGTTGCTGTGTTATTGAAAGAGCACAAACTGGAGAGTAACCTAACCTAACCTAACCTAATCTAACCTAATCTAACCTAACCTAACCTAACCTAACCTAACCTAACCTAACCTAACCTAACCTAATAGTTCGTCAGACCAATGGAACTTACTTGTAATTTTTCATATAATCTTGACTGTATCGCTTGTAAGTATTGACAAAAGACAAAACGAGTGTACATTTAGTTGACTTATGCTACACCCTGTTGGTAATATAATTCTTATGTGTGTGCGACTTATGAGACACCCTGTATTTCCATTATGGTGTTTGCCTTATGAGACACCCTGTATGCATGGGTTTAAGACACTGTATTCAAGGGATTAAGTCATCATACTCAAAGGGTTAAGTCATCATACCGAGGATTAAGTCATCATACTTAGGATTAAGTCATTATACTCGAATGATTAAGTCATCGTATTCAAGGATTAAGTCTTACCTGGGCAAGGGGTTAAGTCATAGTATTCAAAGGGTTAAGACAGTACAGGTATACAAACAATATTCCTAAACAATATAGGTATACAAACAATGGTAAACAATAAGGCAATTTGGACCCAGGATAAACAAATAGTACTACCACATATTCCCAGCAGTAGGGAACGATAGCACTTTCTTCCCTACACACTTGACCCCATCAGAGTAAGTAAAAATATCCTAGAAATATAGGGAATTTTTTTGATTGAATTCGTGGCTGGCGGGGGAAAATCTGTGGTAGCCGTTGAATATTTAGTAATAAATTCGTAACTAAATCTGAAACCCCGTGTTTTTGTATCATATCCGTGGAAGAAGAAGTTAGGTTGGAAGTAGGTTAAGAAGTTAGGGTTAGGGAGGGAGTGGAGGTTGGAAGTAGGTTAGGTTATGTTACGTTACCTTATTCATGATTAATAATTAACTTGCAGGTAGCCTAAATCAGGTCGTTAATGGCAGGTAGTAACAGGTCCACAAGGTAGGTCACAGATCGACAGGTACACGAGGCTGTACAAGAGGCAGGTCACAAGTCAACAGGTACATGGGGCAAGTCACAGGTCAACAGGTACATGGGGCAGGTCACAGGTCAACAGGTACACGAGGCAGGTCACAGGTAACAGGTTCACGGGGCAGGTCACAGGACAACAGGTTCACGGGGCACGTCACAGGTCATCAGGGTACATGAGACAGGTCAACAGGTCCACGTGGCAGGTCAGCAGGTCAACGAGGAGGTAAAATGGTACATGAGGCAGGTCACAGGTCAACAGGCAGGTCACAGGTGGAACGACCATCACTTCCTCTATTATTTCTCACGAGTTGAAGGTGAAACATACATAACGACCTTGCCATCTTGTCGGGCTGGTTGTGATGGTGATTGTGTGGTGGTGGTGGGTGGTGGTAGTAGAGTGATGTGGTAGGTGGGTGGTGGTGGTGGTAGTAGTGATGATTGTGGTGGTAGTGGTGGTGGTGGTGGTGGTAGTAGTAGTGATGATTGTGTGGTGGTGGTAGTAGTGATGATTGTGGTGGTGTGGTGGTGGTGGTGGTAGTAGTGATGATTGTGGTGGTAGGTGTAGTGATGATTGTGGTGGTAGGTGGTGGTGGTAGTGATGATGTGGTAGGTGGGTGGTGGTAGTGTTGTTGGGTAAATATAATAGTGGGTGGTGTAGATACCCATAACGATGGTAGTAGTAATTGTGGGTAGCGATGTAGATTGTAGTAGGATAAAGAATGGTAGTGACTGAGGGAGAAAATTTATGGTAACGCAGGAGGACTCATGGTACAGTACAGAGATAACTACAAACTCGTCTCCTGTACTACTTGATTCGTCTTCCAGGCAATCTAAGTCGACCCAGTTGAGGCTGTCGAGTGTCGTAATGTCTGTGTGAATAAACGAGCCATAGGTGCCACCATCAGCCACCGTCCTCTTCCCTTGCCTCTCCCTCCTCCTCTCACCCCTTCCTCCCACTGCACCACAGAAATAACAAGATCAACAGAGTGTACCATTGAGAAAACATCCCCGCTGTACCATAGGTTACAGTTGGGATCCATTAGTATAGTACCTACCTTTAGTGTCCTAGCCTGAAGCAGCTCTTTGTGGTCCTTGTTCACC